AACGAGGACAACGCGGAAGAGCAGCAGCGGGATTAGAGAAGGGAATATTTGGGTGTTCTTCGACTACTCTTAGTATTTTTTTTTCTCTCTTCCTAAATATGATGATGAACAATAACATGGTTATATCTTTTGATTTCATAATGAACTAAACTTCAATTTCTAGGGAAATTACTATAGGATGTAGCTATTTCTAGACTTGATGGATTGATTCGTATTTCTTTTCTTCCAATCTCTATTGCATGGAATTGCTTAATGCTTGGAGTTGACTGGCCACCAATACAACGAATCGTAGTTAATTAGGTTATTAGCGACAGTGAAACCCTAATAATTTAACATATTTCATGTAACATAGTAATTTATCGAAGCGACAGTGGATTAAATAAGGTGATATGTGGTCTTGATTGGGATATAGATCTTCAGGCTGAACAATTAAGTCATTGAGCTAGGACAGTAGGATTTGAGTTGATTGTTTAGTACGTGGTAATTCCCGACATGGATAGCTAGCATAGTAGAGATATCCTGGCTATAGAGAATTGGATTAAACCGATTAGAGTATGTGAGTTAATCTGGATATGATAATTAGTGAGTCCCGATGTTTCTCCAGAGCTTTCTCCCGTTAATCACAACCCGAAAATTTTAATTTGCTTATTTTGTTTAATTATTTTGCCATTAGATAATATTTTCATCACTCCAACCATTTTCACCTATAGTTTTCTCTATAGAATTGATAGAATATAAGGTTGTACCAGCCCTTGAGAGACGATACCCGGATTTTCGGATTTACTACAATATAGGAATTGAAGCATTACGCTTTTGTCCTATCAGTTGCCGTAGTGGTGGAGAGACGATATGGCTGAGTGTTGATGAGTGTGCACATCTTTTGCCCCAAAAAGGTCATGACCCCACTGGTCGAGAGTGAGTGATTCATTCTTGTTTTGCATGTTCACATCTTACCCCGGTGAGGACCTATGTTGCCCCGTTGTCTGTTTCTTGGACTTGAGTTCTATGCATGGTTAGTTGTGGTTGGCGAGTAGTCCGGTCGTGACTTGCATTGATTTGTGAACAGGGTGAGAACTTTTCATTTGCCCATTCTTGATGCAATCAAATGTCGTTTGTGGTGGATGTCGGTATTGTTTGAGGTGGTTCGTGTGATGATGCCCAATATTCATTGAGATTCACCGCTTTGTGCCTTTTGATTTGTCCCTAAGTTATCTTATTAGGTTGAGATATCACCTAGGTTGAAAATGGTTTGCTTGGGGACAAGCAAACGTCTAAGTGCGGGGGAGTGATTCAGACTCATTTGTACACTTTTTACCCCCAATTTGCTTAGTAGTTTGAAGCATTTTTATTCTGGGAGGTTTGGTTTTACGCCTGGTTTTGCCTGGTTTTGGTGTTTTTCAGACTTAGGTAGGTGGAACCAAACACGGAGTCGAAAGTTGGACGAAAGGGCGAAAAATCAACTCAAAGGGTGGAAGCAGCAGGAGATCACGGTTTGGGCTGTGTGTTCACGGTCACTAAGACCGTGAACTAAAGAATCTACCCATGAACAGCCAGGCGTCCAGAGCTCAAAATGCTTTCACTGTACACGAGTCAGTTCACGGTTGTAAGACCGTGAACTCAGGCCATTGTCCGTGAACTGGACTTAGTGATGCGACCGTGAACTAGTCCCGGCTTATAAGGTCCCGACTTGCAGTTCATGGCTGTTATTTGGGACCGTGAACTAAGCCCGATCAGGGTACATAAAGGAGGCTGAGTTGAAGGAGAAAAGGAGAGAGACCTAGTGTGAGAAACTTCTTCTTCTTCTTCGGATTTCTAGAGTGAGAAAGTGACGAACTAAAGAAGAGGAGAAGCTAGGGTTTCATCTTCAAGCAAGGATTTGAGAATTCCTCCCCCCAAAGGAGGATCTCTTCAACCCAAGGAGCAAGGCTAGCATCTCTTTGATGGTTTTCCTTCTTCTCTCTTGTGTTTTTCCTTCTTATAGCATGGAGTAGTCCCTTTTTTCACTTGGGTGTTTGTAAACCCTAGCTACAATTATGTGAATGCTTGTATGGATTGAATGATTTTTGTGTAGTTGTGTTTAATGTGAATGTAGAGGTATTATTCATGATTGATTGTGTTGTGTGAAAGCCTATCAATCTAATTGTCATTCTAACCTAGGTAGAGAGAAAACCCCTTCCTTTTCTGAAAGAGGCTTGAATGTTGGGTTTTCTTAGGCAATTCATTGTCTCCTATTTAGGTTAATGCAGGCCAAACCTCCTATTTCGTATTAGCACCTAGGGTTTGGTTGTGGGTGGCCGTCCAAACTCCGATTCGAGAGTGAAGTCTAACGAACCCTTAGTCAATAGGTCGAGAGAGTCACGTTGGTGGCTTGGATCATATCCCATTCCCTCGACCTAGATACCAAGAGAGTGGTACTTGGCTACTTGTTGCACTTCCCTACGGTTTACAACCCCCTCACCACACACGGCCATTTTTGTTAGCTAGGGGGAGCAACACCCAGGTGGAGCCTTCTTAATTAGTGTCAAATCCATTTACTTTTTCAAATGTTTTGGCTTTAGATTGTTGTTTTCACCAAAAATCAACCGCTAGATAATGTTACAAACAATCGAATTATGGTACACGAACCGGCCTGGGTCGATATTTAAACATACTTGCCCTATACTGCACCCAGTTAAGGTTTATATTTGGGCCTTAATTGGGAGTTTTATTGTGGTATTTGGGACGAGTCAGGCAAGCAGACCGTAATTATTATCATCAGACCTCAACCAAACACATCCCTGAAGTGTCCCAAGTTAGGAACTCTCAGGTAGTCCGGCAGTGACTTTGGGCTTCTTTGGGTTGCAGGGATGAATTAAAAAATTGGGGAAGAAAGATAGGAACTCTCAGGTAGTCCGGCGATGACTTTGGGAACGGCGGCGACAACGATTTAACGAAGGAAACGGAGATCGGACAACCACTCAAGCTTCCGGGTTTCGGGTTTCATTTAACCGAATCGAAACTGACAAGGAAATTTCCCGAGTTAGGTTAACCAAAATCCGAAAATATCCTTGCTGGTTTTGAGTCAGGGTTTGCTGTAACACATAGTTTCGGGTTTTTTGTTTTGTGGGTTTCGGGTTCGGTTACCCAAACCGAACCGAACTGACACCCCTAGGCGAGAGCAGTCGCTCAAGTCGATCTCTATCTCACCCCGGATCGCCACATCCTTGGAGGATCCTGCAGAGCTGGAGCTGAAGCTCCTCCCCTCTCACCTGGAGTACGCATTTCTCTTGGAGGGGAATAAGCTCCCGGTGATTATCAGCTCCGAACTGACCCCCGAGTAAAAGAGCAGTCTAGTGACTCTGCTAAATAAGTACGCCCGGGCCATGGTGTGGAAGATCACTGACATTAGCGGCATTAGCTCATCCTTCTGCTCCCAGAGAATTCTAATGGAGGATGAGATTAAGCCTATCAGGCAACCGCAACGTAGATTGACTCCTACCTTGGAGGCAATGGTCCAGGCAGAGATTGTTAAGCTTATGGATGTCGGGATCACCTTTGCTATATGTGATAGCAAGTGGGTCAGCCCCACTCAGGTGGTCCCGAAGAAAGGCGGGATGATTGTGGTCCCAAACGAGAAGAATGATCTAATCCCGATGTCGACCGTGACTAGCTGTCGAGTCTGCATCGACTCTAGCGCGGCTGAATGACGGCACCAGGAAGGACCATTTCCCGCTACATTTCATTGATCGGATGCTGAAAAGGTTGGTTGGAAATTAGTTCTACTTCTTCCTGGCTGGCATGTTCGGATACTTCTAGATACCAATTGCGCTAGATGATCAGGCGAAGACCACCTTCACTTGCCCCTTCGGTACTTTTGCCTACCGGAGGATTCCATTGGGCTCTGCAATGCACCGACGGCCTTCCAGCAGTGTATGATGGTGATCTTCGACTGACTGGTTGGAGAGATCATTGACGTCTTCAAGGACGACTTCTCGGTTTACGGAGACTCCTTCACTCATCGTCTCCATAACCTCTAACTTGTCTTGAAGTGGTGCGAGGAGACAAACTTGGCACTCAGCTGGGAGAAGTGTCATTTCATGGTTCGTGATGAGATTGTGCTCGGGCACAAAATCTCCTAGCAGGGGATTAAGATAGATCGCGTGAAGATTGAGACTATAAGCAAATATCTCCTCACGATTCTGTGAAGGGGATTCGTAGCTTTCTGGGTCATGCATGCTTTTACATGAGATTTATCAAAGATTTCAATTCACTCCAGAGTGCACAACTGCATTTTGAGACTTTGAAGGGGAAGCTTAGCCATGCACCCATCATGGTGAATCCTGATTAGTCTCTCCCTTTCAAGCTTATGTGCGATGCGAGTGATTACGCTGTCGGAACTGTTCTGGGTCAGAGACGCGACAAGCATTTCTAGCCTATCTACTAGCGTTGAAGAACCTGAACAATGCACAAGAGAACTACACCACCACCAAGAAGGAGCTGCTCGTCGTGGTGTATGCTATGGACAAGTTCCGACCGTATCGTGGTCTACACAAACCACTCTTCTATCTGGTACTTGATGTTAAAGAAAAATGATAGTTTAGAGAGAAAAAGTATAGAGAAGTTGGAATGAATAGTAGATGATCTTATTTATGAGAAGAGAACTTCTATTTATACAAGTCTAAAAGTTAAATCGTGGTCCAGGCACCTGCCAAGCCATAAATGTTGTGGTTAGGCGCCTCAGACCTTCTGACACAGTACATTGTACTTTCTATCAGAGGGTGTCCCCCTATACTCTGTCCAAGCTGATGTCAGGTGTCTGGCTTCGTCCTTTGGCTTTTTGTCTTCTTTTTTCCTTATGTCATCAATTAGGTCATAGCTAGGGATTTGCCCTTTATACTTGAGCACTTTAGATGCCCTATCAGATGGTAGTGGAAACACTTGTCCAAGAAAGGTACAATATGCTGATGGTAAAACTCTTGCTACTTTTACTACGAACAAACAGCATGGAAAGTCTAGTGGGCGAACCACAAATTCATCTATTCCTAAACAAACAAACAACTGGATTCAGAAGCCAGCAACCCATTTAGCAAATGCAGAACAAAGCAGCACGTTCGAAACGATCCTTATGGTTCAGAGATTCTCTATTGAACAAAAGAAGGTAACATGATCAGAAACGATTGTATGCCATGCATCTGACATACCATTATCAGCTAACTGAAATAAGAGAGCCTAAAGTCAGCTGAGAGTTTCACAGCAGCAATTCCAGCTGAGCACTTCTGGTAGTAAGCCAGAGTATATTAAATGTTTGCATGGTTGTGGTATTTCTGTTGGTAGCAAAAAGCCAACGAACAGCTGGTCCAGAGTTCATAATAATGTTGACAAGGACATTGATACTGCTAGCTTTATAGACAATACCCTTTTTCCGGATTGGAGATGCCAAACAAACTCCTCCTTCCATGGCCAGTGGTGGGTGGGAGGTCTACTGGTGATGGTAATAACAGGTAAAATAGCTCTTTTACTATATACCTGACTAAAATGACAAACATTCTTCTCTCCTTGCACTTCCAGCTGTTGCTTCAGCTACCTTGATCACCAGCTAACCAGGGAAGCACTTTGCAGAGTTGACAAAAGGACTTCCTTCCAACCACGTTGCTTCATGTATCCACTTGTTATATACAAACCAAGGTAAGTAAGCAAGCAAAACATTCATACTTTGCTTTGTTGGCAAGGAAGCTTCATCACACATGAAACAAGGAGCATCCACAGGGGTTCTTTGCTCTGATGCCTACTCAAAGTCAGAATCGCTTTCTTGCATACAAGAATGACGAAAATCTTAGAGCATCAACACGAATTAAATGGGAACAATATGAGATAGAGTGGGTGGTCATGGTAACTTGCCAAGACAGAAATGAAAACAGATAGGTTTGAATCAAATCAATAATCACACTTTACTGTTCTTTTGATCACTTATCATTCTCCTGAAACCAAAGAACCTTTTGTAATAAAATTTAGTAGATCGAAAGTAATCTCTTATACCATCCTCAATAATGGTGCTGCAAATTACAGTGTCATTCTTCAATCAATCATTCCTCCAAGCATACAAAACAAGCGAGAAACCAAGACCTTGTGATTGGTAATCCCTAAATCTCTGTGAGTCAGACATAGTCAAAGCAGACGGATCGAAGATCAGATGTCCATTCCACAGTTTCTCAGCAGAGATGCAACTTTGGAACATGAACACTGCATTACCCGCTGCACTACCAAACAACCAGTCATGAACATCCCAAAACACCTCAACAGGGAGACCATCAACTAGTATCGTCCCATTTCCACGAAATTTCCACTTCAATCTCTTGATCTGCATCACCACTTTACTGTCTACCCTAATAACAAGACAAGGGTCCTTAAGCAGATCCACAGTGTCACACTCGATAGCAACATCATGTAATTGCCCCTCGCCGCAGAACTGAGCTTTCGCACCATAAAACTTCCTCCCAAAAATGTGCTCCTTCTTGGCAATGAAGATGGCATTGGAGTGAAGAAGAGCTCCATGGCCGTCGAATTTCTTGCAGGCTTCCTTCTTCAAATCCCCAAGAAGCAACACCATTTCCTGGTTGAATCCCACAGCTAAGTAGAAGCCTTCCAAGGGTTCAGGACCAGAACCGAATTTGGCAGAGGAGAGGTCCCAATAAATATCGATTTTGTCCGAATCGACCTCGAGATTCTTGCAGCCTTTCCTCTTGGAGAACAACCAGGGCTTTATATCGACTCTGCAGAGAGGGTGGTTGAACGAATCGTCAATGGTGACACCCAGACCTTGACCCATGAGATTCCTGGACCAAGCCACGGTGATGAAACACGAAGAGCGGCGGCTGGCACCACGCAATTTACACTGGTAGACGCAAGTGACCAAGTTCTGAGCAGCTTTACCAGGGTTGGAAGAGGAAGAGGAACCAGAAGCCGAAGCAGAAGCAGAAGAGGAAGAGGAATCAGCTACCTGAACTCCACTCTCTCCGAAGCAAGAAGGGAAGTCCTTCATTTTGCTCGGGAACGGACTCTTTCTCTCCGAAATTGCCCTTAGCAGCATAATTATGAAATGCCGAGTATATGCAACAATGTACGAATGCCGTTTCTATTCTTCGTTGCAGTTTGATTATTTTCTAATTCAACGAGAGGAGCTTTTGGGTACCTCGGATTTCGGATTCTGTGGTCGCGAAATCAACAACCCACCATTCCAAACGCTACAAAGACAAGTTCTTGGGCTTCAGATTTCCATCTGGGAGGTTCAGGGGACCAGTTATTCCCCTGCTACGGAAGAAGTAGGCTTACTACTATTGTGCGAAATCAGGAGAGGGAAGGAGAAGGTGGTGGTAGAGGGGAATTGGGAAAGAGAAGTGAAAAGGAAAGGAGAGGAGATGGGAAGATGAAGTCACATGGGGGTGAGGGGAACCATGAAAGGAAGAAGAAGGAGGAGGAAAGGGGAGATGGGCAGCTGGATGTAGGCTGGAAACTCTCGAAAAGGGACTGGTTATTATACTCCACGTTACACTTGCTCGCACAAAAAGGTAAAGAGGGAGACGGAGACATCTCTCTCTGCTCTGGCTTTCTCTTTCTCTCACGTATTCGCTTTCAATATTCTTCTTCTTCTTCTGAATTTTCGGGGGGTTTTCTTTTCACGACAAGGCATTTCTTTATTTGGACTGATTGATACGATGATGACTGGCTGGCTCCAAATCGTAATTAAATGGGATTTCCATTAATATATATGTAAATGTAATCTCAGTGCCGCCAGCCTGAAAAGACCATTGAGACTATAAATAAAATGCTACAATCACGTTCATTGCAATTTATCAAGGATAGATAGAAGTTGGAGATGCAATGGTAATTTTAATTCGCTCAATGAGTCAATGTAGATGTAGATTACTAATAAAATGACTATATAAGTTGATTCTGTGCGTAATTTATGTGATACATTTAGAATCAATTGTTTTATATTGGACTTGTTAGGCCTTGCTGGAAGTTTTGTGAAAGTTTGGCCGGAGCTCATAGGAAAACACTTATCAACAAAAAAAAAAAAAAGGATTGTTTGGCTGAAAACTATTAAAGTTTTTTAATGTAAATGTAAAATGACAAAATAAATTATAATATTTAGTATTTAGTAAATATTAACAAATTTAAAAGTACTCAAAATGGATATTTTTAGATTTATTTTATATCAAATTATAGTAATTTTTATTTTATATTTTTTAAAATATATCCAATGAAAATAAAAAAACTATTTTTTCGTTGAATAAAAAGTATATTTTCTAAAAAATTTTAAAAAGGACTAATATTCCTGTATTTTCAAAACAACTTTTGAAACATAAAAACACTTCTAAAGTACGGGCCAAACATTCCGTGCTCGTATCGTATTTAGTAACGAGTAAATATTTAGAAAACCAATAAATAGTCAATGAACCTTGTTGGATTTATTTTATATAAAACAATACTAATTTCTAATTTTTTGTTTGAAAATTTTTACCACGAAAAGAAAAGGTATATTTTCTCAAACAAAAAAGTTAAAAAATGTGATGCAAATTTTGTATTTTCAAAACATGAAACTCCAAATTCGATCTTCTTCTTTTATGTTAAAAAAAACATTTTTAACCTTTTTAAATACGACTTCAATTTTTGAATGATAAACGGATTTTTTAAAATCGGAAAAAATTAATAAAACCTGTCAAAATCGGGTTGCTTAATTAGTATGATATTGTCCGCTTTGGGGCAAGTCCATACGGTTTTACTCTTGGGTGTTCTTTCCTTGAGGCCTCTAACTACTGAGCTTGGTGGACACTAATATACAAGGTTTTCTTCTCTTGTATTACCGATGTGGTACTTTGATTGTCCCATAACAAAACTATTGATAGATTTAATTGAAATTAGACATAAACGAAACCTCTTTTTGCTGATCTCTCTCCTATGTTTATGTAACAATTTGGAATGCAACATCTGTGGTGTCTGTAAAACACGAGAAAAAAGGGGATTGTTATTTGAGAATGCCGTTCTTATTCACAAATTGTCTCATGATTAAATACCTTGTTCTCCCATATAGCAGTAGTAGGAGTTGTTATCACGTGCAATGTCGGTTTGGCGTTTGCATGTAATGTATGCAGGAGGAGATAAGGATTAGAAAACATATTTAAGGCCGCCTCCCTCCGCCATCCTCATGGACCCAGCCGTGCAACAGATAGATAGATGGATCGGAGTCGATCGACCAGCCGTGCGTACACTAGCAAAGAAGAGACGGAAGTCCCGTGTGGAGTTGTTTCGTAATTAATGTCGTCATTTTAGAAGAAGCATTTTGCCTGCTAAAAAAGATGCGTTATGTTGGGGAAAAAAAATATAAGACTTGCGAAAGGATATATACTCGTGGCTTCTTGCATTACCGTTGTATACGTTGGTAGATTCTGGATTGTTGAAAAGGTGTATCGCGCCTGTAAAAAAATTAATTAATCACATTCACAATTGTAAAAAAAGAAATTGATTCATTAAGTCACATGTAATGTCAAGTTTACAATGAACCACGACGGCTCTTCATATCTTGAAATATTTGTAAAATACATTCATCGCTTATATTGGAATCAAACCTTTTATAATATACACAACTAAACAATCATTCATAAATTGCTCACTCGACTGATTTAGAAAATCGTTCTTGACTATTTTCATAGCTTAAAAGGCTCTTTTGCATCTTGCGGTCGCAACAGGCAAATTCAACACCAACTTCAAAAGCAAGTAAACTAAGGGCCCGATTACTTTCATTTTTGTTTCTTTTTATTGCGATAGCAGAAAGCATAACCTGATGAAAACGGAACTTTTGTTTCCTAAGAAACAAGCCTGAAAATAAAAAACATGTTTAGCAGCTACTGAATTCTGAAATTGAAATATGAATGATGCTAGATTGTTTGAAATCAAAGTGCACAAAAGTTGATGATCTAACTAATATAAATGTTAACTTTAAAGTATTGATTATAAAAGGAGATGGAGATTTATTTTATTAGAGAAGAAATCTGATCGATACAAATTTTATGTGACTTTTTGAAATTAAATCTAACATATTGTGCAATATAAATGAATTTCATAAGTTGGTAGGTATTAGTTTTGAAATGAAATAGTTTTTTGTTTGAAATACAAATGAATTCATTTTCCATGGTAAATTTTAAATAAGTTGAATAATGGCAACATTTTACTTTTGAAAATCCATGTCATGTATTTGATCCACACTTTCAATGCTTCATTTTGAATACACATCATTGTATAGGAAATTTAGTTATCATATTAAGTAGATTTTTCCAATAATAGCACCTTTTAAAAAAAATTACAAAAATAGCACCTAACCTCATACAAATCCCAAAAATAGCACCTTTCATCCTAAACTGCACCTTCAAGGTGCATTTTATGTGCAAACCGCACAACGAGGGAGCGGTCCCCGCTAGGGCAGCCCCAAAACCGAATTGTCTGTGTGCGGTCCATGTTCCCGAGGCGGCGGTCTCCAGCACCGTTGGATTAGGCGGCGATCTGACGGCTAACCGCACGCCAGCGCAGCGATCCGCATCAGCGATCGAAGACCGCGCGCCTAGCAAACGGTTTGCGCCTCGGACGCCGTGAAACGCTCCCTCCAGGTGCCGTTTTGGAAAGGTCAAAATTACGGAAGCGCCCCTGGAGGGTGCGGTCTGAAAACTATAAATATCTTTCCCCCCTCATTTTTTCACACCACAACCCATTCTTCTCTCTCTCTAAAATTATCGTTCTATCCATCCCCCTCCCCTCCCAAAAGCCTAGGAAATAGTGGTCTGTTGGTTGCGGCTAAGTCCGATATGCCATCAGAAAACATGTCTTTGGCTTTTCCTTCAAAACCCGCCGAATCTCTGTCCGACTTTCGCGAAAAAATGGACTAGTGGTTCCAAGAAGAGGGAATTTATTATGATGAATTTCAAGCCGTACGTACTCATTTACCAAAATTTTGTTGTTGTTATAACCTTTTCAATTAATTAGGGTTAATACCCTAGTTTGGCCCGAAGTTTAGTGTCAGTGTCAGTTTTGGCTCCATTTTTCAAATAAGACACTTATGGCCTACTTTCGAAATTATTGGATAGATTTGGCCCCAAAGACGGTTTGACCGTTATAATTGATGATCAACCATTTTTCCCGTTAGTGACTCAGCATTCGCTGCTGAATAGACTTGTCCACGTCATTAAAAAATTAAATCATGAAAATAAAATAAAAAATAAAACTTTGAACCCGGGAACAGAGCATTTTCTAGAGGTGGTAGCCGATTGACTTGTTGTGGGGAATGTCTTTGATGGTGTTTGGGTAAAAAGGGCTCCATTCTTCAAGTTGGGACTGGATTCGACAGGGGGTTGCTTTTTCGTCGTTGTCCGATGAGGATTCTGACGAGAGCCCCGATGCTTCCGCCATCTCCTTCGCTTGTGAACCGGTGAGCGCGCTCTCGTTGGGATGCTTCCTCCGTGGTGGTGGCCATTTTTAGAGGAAGAAGAAGAAGAGAAAAAAATTTGGATAGGGGCCGAGCGGGTGGCGATTGCTGGGAGTCTGTAGAACTAGAGAATGTAGGGAAAGAGATGAACAATAGTTAACCTTTTTTTTAATAAAAGGGTGAGAGAGAAGTCTTATGAATTTCTTATTTTTTATTTTTTTATCTTTACTTAATAAGTGACATGGATGTCACTTCAGCAGCGAATGCTGAGTCATTGCTGAGTCACTAACGGGAAAAATGGTTGACTGTCAATTATAACAGTCAAACCCTCTTTGGGGCCAAATCTGTCAAATAATTTCAAAAGTAGGTCATAAATGTCTTATTTGAAAAATGGAGCCAAAATTTACACTGACCCCAAATTTCGGGCCAAACTAGGGTATTAACCCATTAATCTATGTACTAATGTTGTTGTTATTCTCTGTAGGTTGGGGACGACGTGGATATATACAACCAACGGTATTATGTTGATGAAGGACCTAGTGATCCAACCGGGTTGTACCTCCTTCTTCGAACCAAATTGTTGGCCCTTCATAAACCCAGTGAGTGGACCGCATACTAAGACCTCTGGCGTCCCCATATCGCTGTCGACACACCAATTGTCGTAAGGAATGTGAGTGTAGTACGATATAGGTACACGGTCACGAGACACCTCATCATCATCTGAGTCCAACTCTGGGCCTCCTGAATCATCATCATCTGCACTAACATTGCTCCCTTCTTCTTCATCGGAGGGGTCACTAACTGGTGTTGGCAGGGCATCTTCCATCTGATCCAGATCATGAAAGGCACCTCCATCACCTCCGTAATGGTAGTTGTGAAAACTGTCGTTGCCTGAATGGAAGTTGTACTCGGGTTGGTTGGCATGGTCCCGTTGGACTTCTTCTTCATATGATGGAAAAGATTGATGATGACCTTCACCTTGCTCTTGTTTCTAAAAGTAGGAATGAGGATCATGGTAACTT